TTTCAGAGTATCTAGTATAAATTTTGCATTTTATTTTCTTGTACATCAAGAAACATAACCACTATGGCTAAAATGAAACATAGGGGTAAAATGCATTTCTTTGATTTTGAAGAAAATATGACAGATACAAAGAACATTTCAATGGAAGTTTTAAGCCATTCATTAATATATATTGAAAAGGAAAAATAATCATTGATGAAAGATTTAAGCAAAAATTACAGGTGAGCGATTCAGGCTCTTGAGAGCCTCTTGTTAGTATGAACTAAGGAGATGTTGTATAATTGTGAATTCTAACCTGACGTTCTTCAAACGCTTTGAGTACACACCTGTGGTAAAATATGAATATATTGTTAGGGCTGTTCCGATCGTACTCCCACGTCATATGCTTTTTTGTGAATGAGCTACCCGACGTCATAGAACGATGACGTAAGAATATATGCATTTTACGGGAAAATACACGCTTGTGAAACCGAAAATCATCACAACAAGGAAACGTAAACAAACGATGCTAAAATGCGTTATATAAGCCTTTTTTGTATAAATATAAGACATATAAGTACAATTATCATTTAGATTCATCCAAACCTATCTAAATATGTTATTGTAAATAGTTTAAGCATGTCATTTATTCAGTTTGCTCCGGTCTTTTACGTCAATTTAATAGTGCGTTTATTTATGGGAACGGCAAATAATGCCTTCATCTAGAGCACTTCGATCCAAAACAATTGCCGTATTTGTCCTATTAGAATCGAAATAATTCATGGGGGCTTGAATATATCGTGATTTTACCACGGGTTGTCCCTTTATGCCGATATTTTACCCCTCGCTATCGCTCAGGGTAAAATATTTGTCATGAAGGGCCAACCCGTGGTAAAATCACGATATATTCAAGCCCCCATGAATTATTTCTTAATGAGACAACTACCTAACCAAGAACAAATGATGTAAATATTAGCATCTATGGATCACATTACAGCCTCAAACAATGGGCAAACTACATACAACATAGCAATCTGCAAAAGGCTTAGACATGACAAAATGTCAAACAATTCAAATGAGAAAAAATCCTTTGTCCTGATTTATGTACAAAACAACAAATAAAAACAAATATGATATACAGCAACTTCTGACAACCATTGAATTAATAGCTCCTGACATTTCACAGGGACAAACAGAATGTAAGGGGATTAAACCAGAAATGTTTAAATTCATCAGTCCTGTCACTGGTAAATTTTGACAAGGATTACCAAAAAGCTTGAGTGTTTTATAATAAACATAAGTACAGAAAATGACACCCAAGCCACTAGGACTGATTAAACTCAAATAGATTTCAACAACTCTGTTGATGGAGTTATAGCACAACATAAGAATAAACTGTAAAAAATCAGTTGAAAAGAGCATGACTCATCAGATTGATATGAAGCACAAAAAAAAACTACTGAAAACACTAGAACAAACTAGAAGACTTAGTAGTGATTTGAGAGTACTCACAGTTACTTAAAGCCAGTTCAATAAAAAAAATTAATGAGACATCTCTGTGTTAACATAATTTCTGTCTATTAAGACATGTATATCCTTCAAATGTTCATAGAAGAACAAGCAGTAACAAAAACTACACAGTAAACTCAGTAAATGTTCACAGAAGAACATGCAGTAACAAAAACTACACAGTAAACTCAGTAAATGTTCAAAAAAGAACATGCAGTAACCAGGGACAGTCTATACTATAGTTAGTATAGAAAGTCCCTGCAGTAACAAAAACCACTCCGTGAACTTGGTAAATGTTCATAGAGGAACATGCAGTAACAAAAACTACTCAGGGACATTGGTAAATGTTTATAGAAGATCATGCAGTAAAAGAAACCAACTCAGTGATCTTGGTAAATGTTCATAGAAAAAACATGCAATAAAAAATAGCACAGGAAAAGTACTTAACTCTAGAATAACAGTATAAAGCAAAAATACAAAAACAAACCAATAATGATTTTGGATTCCTGATGAAGGTAAATCAAGAAAAGTGCTTATGACCAATCAAATTTTAAAGAAATTTTTTTTGGGGGGGGTTTATAGGGGTTTTGCCCATAAATTAAGGTAATTGACAAATTTTAGTATTTTATCTTATCTTTGCAAATCACAAGAATAAAAAGTTTAGACAAAAACTGTAAAGTATAAAAGTGATTAGCAATACATGGAGATCTACTAAAACGCCTAAATAACCATGATGACTTAAACCATGAACTTTAAAAAAAAATAGGAAGGTGTGGTATGATTGCCAATGAGACTACTTTCCACCAGAGACCAAATGATGTAGAAGCTACTGCCTAGTATCTATACATGTAGGTCACCAAACAGTCTTCAACAATGAGCAAAACCCATACCCCATTGAAAGGATTGCATACACATCATTTCATGTTTTGTTTATAATCTTAAGATCTACCAAATATAAATATAACTGAACCATCAATTGGCTCCATATCAGGAGTTACTGTTTTTTAAAAGAAAATTTTCATGAACTTATAATTTGTTTTTGGATATTATCTACTTTTTAATAAGCAAAATGCACATAAAGGAGATTAAAAAAATCAGTACAGATATTATACTGGTAAACAAGCATCCAGTTGACCTGTTCAGACATTTTAATTCATTTATATCTTATTTTGCAGTAAATATACCAGATATCATAGTGTTTTCTTCATAAGATGGACAACAACCAAGATTTAAGCCAACTTGAATACCATGTATTATTGTCACATAGCAAATAACTATGATTTAGAAATTGTAGTAAAGATCTATTGCTTGATAGAATTCTGCCTAAAATTAGCAAAGGAACAAAGAAGACTTAGTCCTTTGTTAATTTATGTATCATTGTCATTTTGCTTAGTTTCTTTTGTTACCTATTCTGACATCGGACTCGGACTTCTTTTAAACCGAGTTTTGCTGTTCGTGTCGCTGTGTGTTTCTTTGTTCTACATTGGCTAGAGGTATAGGGGGAGGGTTGAGATCTTGCAGGACATGTTTGGCCTTGCTGCATTGTTGCGCCTGTCCCAGGTCGGGAGCCTCTGGCCTTTGTTAGTCTTGTATGTTTTTTAATTTCAGTTCATTTATATGTTTTGGAGTTTAGTATGACGTCCATTTTCACTGAACTAGTACACATTTTTATTTAGGGGCCAGCTGAGGACCACCTCCGGGTGTGGGATTTTCTCGCTGCGTTGAAGACCCATTGGTGGCCTTTGGCTGTTATCTGTCTTTTTGACATATTCCCCATTTCCATTCTCAATTTTATTAACTATGGCATCTCTTTCTGTAGAGGAAGAAAACTATGTTAGAATGAGTTAAATATAACTGAACAATCAATCGTTATTCATATTGCTCTGTAAATGATAATTTTCATGAACTTAAAGTCTTTTTATGTGTTTTTAGAAATTACTTACTTTTTTATATATGCAAAATACACTAAAATATCAGTATATAAAGGAACTATACCAAAAAGCATCCAATTGACCTGTTCAGACATTTAAATTCAGTTATATCTTATTTTTCAGTAAACACATGTTAAATATACCAGATTTCCAAGTGGTTTTCTTCATAAGAGGGACAACAACCAAGATTTAATCCAAATTGAATGCCAGGAATTATTGTCATATAGTGAATAACTATGATTTGAAAGTTATTAATTAATATCTTTTGCTTGATAGAATTCTGTCTACAATTAGTAAAGGAATAAAGGAGACTTAACTATGGCATCTCTTTCTGTAGAGGAAGAAAACTATGTTCGAATGAGTTTGTTATTAACAGGAATTTCTCCTCGTGCAGCTAGAACCTTCTTTGATAGTGAATTTGCTCCAGCATGTTTAGATGCTACAATAAAGAAGGAGTATAACAAATTGTTTGACTTAAAAAAGAAGCATAGAATCAACCAATCACAGTGGAATCTCCTGTTTCCTAGATTTCCTGGTATGTACAGAAATTCTTATTTCATAGTACAGAAATTCTTATTTCATAATACAGTGCATCCCTTTTCTAGATACCCAGAAAGTATACACAAAACTTTGCTTAATTATGTTTATATATATATATTGTTCATAGCCAAACTTTCTGTTCAGAAATATTTCCTATTACAGATGATTTAAATATTATCCTTTTTCAAGTATGACTGTATCTGTTTTTATATGCCCATTTACGAGACGTATTATGGTTAACAGTTGTACGTCCATGTCAGTCCTTCTGTCTGTCCGTCCATCCGTCCCTCCATACATCCCAAAGTTGGTATATGTTTTTTAGTTATTGCCCTTGGACAGATAAAATATGTGCAATGCAGATGACAATGTTCTTTTATTATGAATTAAATTTCCCAGCATTGGAGACTATACCTTTTTGTTATATTAAGGAGTCTTTTGCATAACAACTGTTAAGATGTACTGTTATTTCCTTGCTTTGTGATCTGAGGAATTGGAAAATATGACCAAATCTTGCTGTTTCAAATGAGAGTCTGTTTAGATATGGTTTTTCTTCACAATTGTCTGTAATAACATTAAATAAAATAAGAACCTATAACTAGCCCCCCCCCCCCCCCTCCTCCTCAAATCTCACTTTACTGAGTATGATACGAAAAAGTGATACAGAAATTGTGTTTATTTGAATGGCCTATACAGCATCATGAAACCATATTCCCATATTCCATCATAAGCGTTAATAGGTCTAATGATAAAAATGGCATATAATTAAGAAAGAAATAATAGCAGCTGGGTTTATATTATTGTACCTGGCTTGTAGGTAGGTTTGTGAGCCCCAGTTACCCTCCTTTGAAATATGGTATTACATTTTTTTCCCCAAAAATTATGCTCCTTTGAATCGCTTATTCACACCTGTGATCAATGAACTCACTATACAATTTTTGAGTAAGAATATTCCCAAGTATTGATTATGCTAAAAATATTATATGAACAGACTTGCTATTTGCTTTTACTTTTATAATCTTTATTATCTTATGTATTTTTTAGATGTTCCAGATTCTAAAACTTTTGATTTGACTTTGATGATACTATTACTGAGGAACTTGACTCCAATGACCCCTCCTCTTTGTGGATTTGACCATTTACCTTCTGTAATGGAGACCACTCATGCTGCAGACTTAGCAAGGATCAAACACTACAGGAATTACCTGGCTCATTTGGATGATGGCAAACTAGACTCAGGGTTCTTCAATACTGCTTGGAATGATATAACTAATGTATGTATATATATATAGGTTTATTTAACTGATTTTAGGTCACCTGTTGGAAGATATCTGAAAGAAAATTACAAGAAACCATATTAATTTGCCTTACACACACTTGTAAAATTTATTTATGGAAAATATATGTTTCTGATTTTAATCGTCTCACCTGCAACAAAATCTGCAGAATGTGAGACATACATGGATCATGTAACATGATATAGGGATGCATATTTGGGACAGCTGCATCATCGGTGACAGCAGCAGCTTTGTTAACTATTTGTAAATAACACCCTTTATATTTTAAAAGCTACTAGACCTGGATGCTTCATACTTTGTATACAGATGCCTTATATTTCAATGTTTTCATCTGTCATATGTCAATTGTGCTTGTCCTCATTTTCCTATTTCAGCAAGTGCTTGAAAAAAATGTAGTTTTTGTGGAACCTGTGACTTCTGTCGCAGAAAGCTTGACAAAGGGATACTGATCCAGCGGCAGTGGCGGCGTTAACAAACTTCTTAAAAGCCTTAACCTGAACCTTTCATTCTTTGTATATATAGATGCCTTATGTTATGAAGTTTCCGTCACATGTCCATTGTACTCGACCTCAGTTTCATGGTTCAGTGACTACTTGAAAAAAAATTAAGATTTTTAGTATTCTGAATTTTTCTCTTGTTATGAGTAATAAGATAACTATTTTTGGTGTGTGCGTACCTTGTAAGGTCCTCATGCCTGTCGGATAGTTTTCACTTGACCTGTACCTCATATCATGGATCAGTGAACAAATTAAAGTTTATTTGATAGTTGTAGTAAAGCTTTTTATTTATCAACATAATATCAACGGTTAGTAAAATAGGCGAGACATTCAGTGTATGCACTCTTGTTTACCCTTTTTTGTGTTTTGAACAAAATCTAAAAAAGATAGAGAGAAGCTCAACATACAAATCGATTAGCAATGCAAAGACAAACAAAACAAAGATTTTTGTCATGAATTCAATTCTCGTCTTCATTTGTAGAGAGTGTCATTTGTTGAATATGCACATAGACAAAGGTGAGTCACACAGATTCTTTAGAGCATTTAGTTTTAAATCTAGATAAGAGATCATCAAGTGTATGATAATCTAATCTATGCTTAATTCGTCAATTTTTATTGATTTATTTGTAATGAGACCTATTATTATCTTGTCTGTTATCAACAATATCAATGATATCAACAGAGGAAGTTTTAGATATGTTATCTTTTCTTATTATCTTAATTATTGTGCCGACTGCAGCAGTAGTTTAATCCAAGAAAGTTTGCAAATTTCATGGAAAACTTCAAATAGTTTATAAGATTGTCCTTGTTGTTTCATGTGATTGGAATTTTATGAATTAATTGGAATTGTGTTTTCATAAATGTTTGTAAAATCAGACTCTTGAATTTCTAAGGTTTTGGAAGTTGTATAGATATTCTTGTTTGTTGTACATATTTATTACTACACTTTCGGCTTGGTTCATGTTACAGTATAAGTATACTATACGGTAACATGCATATGCACATTAAGAAAAAACTAGCATATGCACATTAAGAAAAAAAAAAAAAAATCTTAGAGAAATTCAAAGGGAGCAAGACCAGGTTCAAAATATAAAATGAATGAGTGATAAACAAGTGTGATCTTTTAATATACTTAGGATTCATTTATTGTTGATGGTATCAAAATTAATTTTCATGGTTCAAGAAGATTTTTGGTTTTGGGTACCGAATTTCCTGATTTTGCATATTCTTTTATCAAAGTAACAAGCACTTTGAATTTTGCCAAGTATTTGAATAAGTGGTTTCCTTATGTAAAATGTATAAATATAATGAGAAATCGATAGTACTTTACTGAAAGCTATTTATATGTTGATTGCTGTCTATCAGATTTGTGTGAGCTGTTATATGATTGCCATTGTTTGTTGGTTCAGGCCAAGTATTGCAAGAGTTAAAGAGACTCCCTTTTGAACCTGCAATTTTTATTCAAGTTATCAAGAATAACAAAAGAAAAAGAAGTAATAAAATAACTTCAAAATAATATGGTATATCTTACAGGCCATAGATAGATTGGGTAGACAGCAAATGAAGCAGGAGTGTGATCATTTGAAAACCAGACCTCTAGATCAGACCAACCAAGAAATAATGATAGACATCAAACGTTCCAACAATGAAATCCGGGAACTAAAAGAATCATTTGAAAGTCTGATAAAATCTCATGAACTACTACAAGAACACCATACAGAAGTAAAGAAATCCCATGAGATATTAAAGGATGACCATAGGAAAGTAACAAAAGAAATGGAAACAATAAAGACTTCACAAAAGGATACTGTACCATGGAATATAAGAGGTAAACAGTTTGAAGAGACTGGGGGTACATCTACTCAATATCTTTGGAGATCAGATTTTAATTGATTCCTACAGGGAATGTGATTAACCATCTCTATTGTTGATTGTTTGATTTCTCTAATTCTTACTCGATTTATCCCTTTCCTGACCTGTTGATTATTTTTATTTAATCAAATAGTGGTTCGTTTGATCTCAGTTCTTCATTGGTCAAAATTCCATTATGACGTCAAATTTTCTTGTTTTCCTCTGAAATTCCTATTGTGAGGTCATGAAAAAAGGCGACCATGCCTGAGACGTCACGTAGAAAGAACACATCTGTATTGCAGGTCGTTTGAAAAGAAGAATTAAGGTTGTCTGTATATCGTCTAAAATCCTCTGAGAAACAGATTCCACCACCAAATCTCGTGTGATACGATATTTATCCACTCTAAACAGTTAAATTTTAAATATTAAAAACGCTCGGCGAGCCTCGCGTTTTAAATTTGAAAATTTTTAAACTGTCTCGAGTGGATAAATATCGTATCAAACTCGATGCAGTGATATAATCTATATTTCTTGGGTAGATGTTAGTAAAGGTTGTCATGTTGATAACTTTTTATGTTAGAGGTTATCAACACGAGAGATCAGGTAAGTAGTTTGAGAGAAATCAATACTTGGAAGTCATCTAAATACCTTTCAATGAAAGAAGACAACAGGGAGGTGAATTTGATAGCATGAAATGTCAGAGGTTAACACAGTGAGGTCAGGTTCATATCTTGAAGATCAATATTTATAGGACTCTTGGTTGGTAAGAGGTAGAAACTTTTGGATTTTCAAATTAATCAGAATGTAAAATCTGGTAATATTGTTATCGAGTAAGTATATTACGTCAGCTTTTTGAGGCTGTTTGTACCTTTATGGTTTTGCATAGCGCAATATTTTAAACTGTTATGGTAGATGCTTGATTTGTAACTTTCTCATTACTTGGCGTCCCTTTTACCTCGTCGTCTGTTAACTTTAAAAAAATCTTCTCATTTATCAGAGTGATTCCGTTATACATGTTTAATGATGATTTTGTTTACCCTTTTGTGTTTGCGCAAACATTAAAGAAAATAGACTGTAATAAACAGACGAACATTTCAGCACTACCAGATCAACAAAAAAGACATTTTGTCATAAATTCTATTCTAGTTCACAATATTGGAGAGTGTCCATTGTTGAAGATGCACATTGACCTTCATAAGTAACACAGGGTCTTTGAGCCTCTAGTTTCTTAAGGCTGGCATTTGTCAACTTTATAGTATTGTGTATCAATTAAACAATACGTAAAATGAAATAAAGGATTTTGTAATTGGAATTATGTTGGAAAGAGAGAAATTATAAACAGCAAAATTGTGTCATTGTTAAGTATCGCAAAGTTAAAAATATTCCAACACTATATGCAAACTCACAACATTCAAACATAAAATAAATAATGATAAGAATGAATGTTTAAGAAGGTTATAGAAGTAATCAGGAAAACGTTGGATTACAAGAAACAAATCATTCCCATATAATTATACACACATAGTAATACAGCAGTAGAAAACAGGAATCCCGCGAATAATAATGAATCGACAGTATGTTATCCAGATATTTCTGTGTTAGTAAGGATACAATATTTCTTTATTTATATTACAGCAAGAATTAATGATACATTTAAAGAATGGAAGGACAATGATGATACGATGTTTATAAATACAAGAGCTGCCCAGTATGTACTCAAATGTATAAAGGAAAACAGTTGTGTAACTATAACGGCTAGTTCTGGTGTAGGAAAGACAGCAACACTCCGACACGTGGCTTTACGGATGGTAGAAGAAGGATATGATGTACTTATAGTCACAGAGCCAGGTGACATTCTGAGGTTTTACAATCCAAATAAGAAAATTTTGTTTGTTGTTGATGATTTTTGTGGAAACTTTTCACTTGACCAGAGTGACATAAAAAGTTGGGAACCAATCATGGAGGATATAAAACAAAATCTTAATCAAAAACAAACAAAAATACTTGCAGCATGTCGGTTACAAGTGTACCAAGATGATAAGTTTGATTCTTTATCAGTTTTTAAGTCATGTGTATGCAACATGTTATCAAGGAACATTTGCTTGTTAAAAAATGAAAAAAAATCAATAGCTAAGTTGTATCTCAAAGCAAAAGCCTCCGAGATAAGTGACTTTTATGATCTTTATGACTGTTTTCCTCTTTTATGTAAATTTTACCATGATAATCCTGAACTTATTATTACAGATTTCTTTCAGAATCCGTATTCAATTTATGAAGCAGAGATTAATAAGTTTCTGAAGAAAGGGCTTCACGCTAAATACTGTGCTTTGGCTTTATGTGTCATGTTTAACAACAAATTAAAGGAAGAAATATTTATAGAAGAGATAAATAAAGAAACCAGGACTATTATAGAGAACACATGTGAGGCATGCAGATTAGACAGGGGAACATCACGACTTGTATTACAGGATGAACTAGAATCACTCACACATACATATATAAAGAAAGAACAAAACAAGTACAAAATTTTACATGATAAAATATTTGACTTTTTTGCTAAGATCTTTGGACAAAAAATAATCTGTTGTTTGATAAAGAATGCAGACAGTGGTTTAATCAAGGAACGATTTGTAATAGAAAGAAAGGACGACATGGATCAGTTTATCACTATTATACCTACAAAATATCATCTGATGTACATACAGAGATTGATTGATGACTGGTCAAATGGAAAAATTCAAGATGTATTCAGTAACATAAATATGAAGATGCCTCTGTTCACACAGAAATTTCTCTGCTATTTTTATACACTAGATATATCTTACCAGAGACGACTGGCAAACATATGTACAAATAATAATCAGACACCAATAATGATTGCTTGTAATCATGGTCACACAGAAATGGTAAAGATGTTGTTAGAGAGAGGAGCAGAATCTGATCATAATTGTTCGTCTCTCGTCTTGAAGGCTTGTCAACGTGGTTATACAGAAATATTAATGATTTTGTTAGACAAAGGAGCACACTGTAATGCATGTGACTCGATGGGTCATTCACTTGTAATGAAGGCTTGTGAATATGGTCATAGAGAAATAGTGAAATTGTTGTTAGACAAAGGAGCAGACTGTAATAAATGTGATGATCAAGGTAATTCTACTTTAATATATGCTTTTGGAGATGGTCATATAGAAATAGTAAAGTTGTTGTTAGACAGAGGAGCAGACAGTCATAAATGTAACAGGAGGGGTCAATCTCCTGTTATGAAGGCTTGTGATTATGGTCATATAGAAATAGTGAAATTGTTGTTAGACAGAGGAGCAGACTGTAATATATGTGATGATGACGGTAATTCACCTGTAATGTATGCTTTTGGAGATGATCATATAGAAATAGTAAAGTTGTTGTTAGACAGAGGAGCAGACTGTAACAAATGTGACAGGTGGGGTCAGACACCTGTAATGAAGGCTTGTAAACAAAGTCATATAGAAAGCGTAAAGATGCTGTTAGACAGAGGAGCAGACTGTAATAAAAGTAACAGATTGGGTCAGTCACCTTTGATGAAGGCTTGTGAACTTGGTCATACAGTAATAGTAAAGTTGTTGTTAGACAAAGGTGCAGACTACAATAAATGTGATGATGATGGTAATTCGCCAGTAATGTGTGCTGTTGGAGATGGTCATATAGAAATAGTCAAGTTGTTGTTAGACAGAGGTGCAAACAGTAATAAATTAAACAAGTTGGATCAATCACCTGTAATGAAGGCTTGTGATCATGGTCATACAGAAATGGTAAATTTGTTGTTAGACAGAGGAGCAGACTTTAATACATGTTGTTATGATGGTTCGTCACTTGTCTTGCAGGCTTGTAAGCGTAGTTATATAGAACTAGTAAAAATGCTGTTAGACAGAGGAGCAGACTTTAATAAATGTGACAGGTTGGATCAGTCACCTGTAATGGAGGTTTGTAAACGTGGGCATATAGAAATAGTAAAGATGTTGTTAGACAAAGGAGTAGACTGTAATGAATGTTCCTGGGGGGGCCAGTCACTTATAATGATGGCTTGTAAACATGGTCATAGAGAAATGGTAAAGTTGTTTTTAGACAGAGGAGCAGACTGTCATAAATGTAACAGTCGGGGTCAGTCTGCTGTAATGATGGCATGTGAACATGGTCACACAGAAATAGTAAAGATGTTGTTAGACAGAGGAGCAGACTACAATAAATGTGACAGGTGGGGTGAGTCATCTGTAATGAAGGCTTGTAAACAAGGTCATACAGAAATAGTAAAGATGTTGGAGTAGACTTTAATAAATGTGATGAGTATGGTATTTCACCTGAAATGAAGGCTTGTAAACATGGTCATACAGAAATAGTGAAGATTTTGTTAGACAGAGGAGTATACTTTAATAAATGTGAAAAATATGGTATATCAGCTGTAATAAAGACTTGTGAAAATAGTCATACAGAAATAGTAAAGATGTTGTTAGACAGTGGAGTAGACTTTAATAAATGTGATAAAGATGGCATATCATCTTTAATGGAGGCTTGTGAACATGGTCATACAGAAATGGTAAGGTGTTGTTAGACAGAGGAGAAGACTTTAATACATGTTATTATGATGGTTCGTCACTTGTCTTGCAGGCTTGTAAACGTGGTTATATAGAAATAGTAAAGTTGTTGTTATACAAAGGCGCAGACTACAATAAATGTGACAGGTGGGGTGAGTCACTTGTAATGAAGGCTTGTAAACATGGTCATACAGAAATAGTAAAGATGTTGTTAGACAGAGGAGCAGACTACAATAAATGTGATGAAGATGACAGATCACCTTTAATGGCGGCTTGTGAACATGGTCATACTTAAATAGTTAAAATGTTGTTAGACAGAGGAGCACACTGTAATAAATGTGACTGCAGGGTTCAGTCAGTTTCAATAATTGCCTATGCAAGTGGTTACAATGATATAATTGCCATGATTCATCAAGATTCCAGTCAGAAAATAGTTTGAAATTAAAGTTGAAACAATTAAAGCCTATTAGTAATGCTATGTTTATATTTAAACTTGTGTGTGGTATATTTTAATACCTGTTACTAGTATATTGAATATTTGATATTCTACCTTTTTTTCAAGAGACATACTAGTTATTGCTGATATTGCTTAACCTTTTAGTGATATGTATATTTAAATCGGTTACAACTATTTACAAAATACAAATTTTATGACAAGAAATTTAAGTTAAAGGGACATTGTACTATGATAAAAAAAATTGCTATAACTGTGCAACAATACATGTAATAGTAAAAGGGACATTGTACTATGATGAAAAAATTAGATATGTTTAACATTTTTTGATAGACAACTGTAATTAGGTATGTTACCATAGTAGAGAGATATGTTTTTATTGTAAAGAATAATATGTTGATATAGTATAGTTATCACATATGCTTTTATTATAAAGCTGCATTTATGTTGATAGACAAGCTATACTTGATAAGAATATTTATTTATAGTCGATGAAATGCACATATGAAACATATTGTATCTAGATATTACTAGTTTAAAAGATATGTTCTTTTGAATAGACAAGTTAAAAAGATTAGAATATTTACTTATCGTAAGTGAAATGCACAAATATAAAACATATAGTTCTATTATAGAGATACATTACTAGTTTTATACAATATATTTCTTTTGTTAAGTGATTTATGATTATGGAGAAAGACTAAATATGCCACTATTGTTTACATGATCTCATTAAAAAAGATTTGGCAGTACTCTAAATGTAAATCAAATCAATGGTCACAATATGTAATTTGAACAAAGTAACGTTCAGGAATACTAACTATATTAAATTTTTGTGTTAGTTTCCATCCAACTAAATAATGCTTAACTTGACTAAAAATTGAAAAAAATAAATATTTTTAATAAATTTATAAAAATATTGTATGAAAAGGTTCTTTTTTTCTTGACAAAACATATTATCTAAAAATTAGTTCCTCAACTTTGGAAAATTTCGATTAATTCATTCTTTTTGTTTATGCTTTGTTTCCTTATGTCATTTTTGTCTTCTCATTCTAACTTATCAAAGTTAATAAAGGTTAATCATAGATTTTATTTTTGTTTAATGTATTTATGTGTTCTGATGATTGATTGTTATGCTCATAAATGGGCACCATAATTGACTCAATAAATAATTTGTAGTTTGTATTGATGTTTTTACAAATTAAATGAAGATAATTTGCTAATTATATTTCAACAGAAGAAATTGTTTGTTTACTTTCATCTTTAAGGTTTGGATATCTCTTCCAAGTTTGTATTATGTTTTGGATTTCTCAATACTGTGAATACAAATATGTTCGTGTGTATCAATTTTCAGGTGATAGAGGAAATATTGAATTTTCGTGGACACTTGATTTCGTGGTTTTGTCAAAGTTTTCTCAAACAAGCCTATGGGAAATTTCAACATCGTAGAACACTTACACTACAAACTGCTCAGAGTCTGAAAAGACCATATTTTGTGCTCGACCAGTAAAGTCCAGCACAGATTTTACTCGACTAGACTCCACATTATCTCGACAATGCTTAACTGTACTCGACTTGGGTCTCGATTTTACTTAATAAGTCTGATTCAGTACATGATAATCTTGGTGTAGTCTGAAATGGTCTCGACCAAGGCTCGACCAGTCTCCACCTGTCTTGACCAGTCTTGACCTACAAATGTAGCCTTGACTGGTCTGAATCAGCCCATCTAACTAAATTGAATATTGATCTTACAAAATTCCAGGTTATTTGGTAGTTTGGTTCATTGCTGTGAAATTAAAGAATTTAATTAGAAATGTAATAGGTAAAAAAAACTAGAATTTTCAGTTATGATTTAATTCAGATAGTCATCTTTAATTATTTCTGTAACTTTTTCAAATCAACTTTGATTTTCATAAAACTCTACAGCTATCTCAATTATACATTGATCTTACAGAATAACAGGTTGTTTGGTAGCTAGATTTATTGCTGTCAAATTTTAGGATTTAATCAATAGGTAAAAAAAGCTATAATTGTCAGTCGGACTGAATTCAGATAGTCAACTTTAAATTTGTTTATTACTTTTTCAAATTAACTTGGATTTTAATAAAACTATACAGCTATCTCAGTTGTATATTGATCTTACTGAATTGCAGGTCGTTATGTAGTTTGGTGTATTGCTGTCAAATTTAAGGATTTAATTAATCTAGGTCAAAAAAGCTAGAATTTGCAGTTCGGACTAAATTCAGATAGTCATCTTTAAATTTTTTTATAACTTTTTTAAATCAACTTGGATTTTCATCAAACTATACAGCTATCTCAATTATATATTGATCTTATAGAATGCCAGATTGTTTGGTTCTTTAGTTTATTGCTGTCAAATTAAAGCATTTAATTGATAAGTAATTAAATAAGCTAGAATTTTCAGTTCAGACTGAATTCAGATAGTCACCTTTAAATTTGTTTATTACTTTTTCAAATCAACTTGGATTTTCATAAAACTATACAGCTATCTCAGTTGTATATTGATCTTACTGAATCCCAGGTTGTTATGCTGTTTGGCATATTGCTGTCAAATTTAAGGATTTAATTAATCTAGGTAAAAAAGCTAGAATTTTCAGTTCGGACTAAATTCAGATAGTCATGTTTAAATTCTTTTATAACTATTTCAAAGCATCTTGGATTTTCATCAAAATCTACAGATATCTCCATTATATATTTATCTTACAAAATACCAGGTTATTTGGTTTTTTGATTTTTTGCTGTCAAATTTAAATATTTAAACTATAGGTATCTATTTGAAAATTTTAGCCTTTTTTACCTATTAACTAAGTCCTTAAATTTCACAGCAATACACCAAAATACAAAATAGTCCCTTATCAGTTACTGTACTGGCATAAAATTCTAACTTGATCTATAACTTGTCATGGTGTAAACTATATAACAAAATTCAAGTCAAATTAACTTCTGTCAATATAATCAAGCATGACGAAAAAAAGTGAGGAAAACTGATTTTTTTAGTGAATTTTCTAAGTCTAAGGACCATAGCTCTACACAAAATTATTAGACTGGACCAATAGTGAAACGAATCTGTAACTAGTCATGATAAAAATATAAATCAATCGTCAAATCAATATCTTTAAGCATGACCAAATAAAATGCGGAAAACTGATTATTTGAATGAATTTTTAACTTCGAGGACAATAACTCTGCATTAAATCGTCAGACCCGAACAAAATTCAAACATGATCTCTAACTTTTCTTGATAAAACAATACATCACATATCAAATGAATATCTTCAAGCATGATAAAAAATGTGGAAAACTAATTTGCTGGACTGACGGATGGAAAGACAGACAGACGGATGGAGTACAAACCTAAAGTCTATTGTACAGTGGTTATAAATAATAGGAATATGAACTGAATTTTAAACTACAATTTACTTATTTTTGCATGACAAGTTTGGGTGGCATCAACTGTTACACAATTACCCTGATTTTCGACAGAAGCATATTTCGTTCACATTGATTCTTTCCAGAACATCCACATTTGAAAAAAATCTTGACCATCACAAATGGAAGACAATTTAACGCCTGTCGAACAGATATGCAATTGTTAATTGATACAGATTTTAAATCTCTTATTTTTTCCTGGTAATACGTTTCATTTTTATTTTCCTCAACTATAAGAATTAACTTTTGTGAGTAAATTTGTCTTGATTTAGAGACATATCTACCTGAGTCATTTTTCTACAGTATGTCAGTTGTTTGATGAAAATTGCTCATTTAGTATTAATATTTAAGGCTAATTTAACCTCAAACTCTTTGAGTGTAACTGCAGTAGGCTTTTTTATAAGAATTTTTAAATAAAAAAGAATCACCTTTTTTACAAATTCACTGAATTTAATCAGGGAATCTGTAAAAAAGATCTTAATTATTTTAGTGATTTTGTAAAATCCCTAGTCAAAATCAGGGATTTTATAAAATCACTAATCAGTTCAGTTATTATACAAAATCCCTGAAATTTCAGGGATTTTACAAATTCACTGTAACATATATACTATATCCCAAATTATAATAATAGATGTATTTCTAATATAAGGTTAAACAATTTCAGTGATTTTGTTGGCTGTTGTAAACCTCATCAAAAAGATAATCATATAACTATTGAATGTAACCATGAAACATATGTAGTTTTTTTTTTAGGAATTTAGGAAAATCAAGTTTAAAAAAAAACACATGCCAAACAAGAAGCACCTTAATAAGGTTTAATTACCCTCAGTATAGGTGTGGTTTTTAGGTAAAAGAATTTTTTTTTTAACAAAACTTTAAAACTTTAAAATTAATATAACAAAATTATTATATAAGATAATTTGATTTAACTATCTCTATTTGATCAATCTGAGAATCATGTAAGGATGTAAAAATCTGTTTTTATATATATCTTTATTTTATTGTTGCTGTTGTCATGTCAGTTAAAAAGGAATTTATTTTAACAGTTAAAATTTTTAGTTCTCATTATGTTTTCTGAATTCTGTTAGTCACCGTTAAATTTTTTAATAACTTTTTCAAATTACCTTGGATTTTCATCAAACTTTTCAGCTATCTTTATTAAATATTTTTCATACAGAATGCCAGGTTGTTTTTGTATTTTTGTGTATTCCTGTCAAATTTAAGGACTGAGTTAATAGGTATAAAAAAGCTAAAATTTTCAGTTTTTACTAAATTCAGATAGATACCTATAATTTAAATATTTAAATTTGACAGCAATAAACCAAATTACCAAATAACCTGGTATTTTGTAAGATAAATATAT